GCGGGCCGTGGGGTGGTTCGGGGTTGTTTTTCAAGGTCCCGGTCTGGGGCGGAGAGTGGGGGGCTGGCCTAAAGTCGCCCGGCTGGCTTTCATGCCTAGGGGAGGGCTAGAACGCGGCCTTCTTGCCCCGTGGCTTCAACCACTCCCCTGAGCTGGCTCTCCTCAGCTGTCGCGGCTCCTTGTGAATCTCCAAGCTTTACTCAAAGTGGTTCCAAAATGGCGTCCATCAGGGATGGGCAGCCTGCACTCCGAAAATAAAAAGCAAAAAGAGTTTGGCCTGTGGTTGCCCAGGCTTTGGGTCATCGCTAAAGGTTAACTAAAGATTTCAAGGGTTTCCCATCCACCCGCCGCAGAGAAAAGTCCAGGGGGACTGAAGCGGATCTTTTGGGTTGCTCTCCGCTGCTGTGAGCCCATGAGACTCCAGAGTTGTTTGGAGGGGCTTCTGCCATACCTTAGCTGAGACCCCCTCCAGCCTGGCCCCCATCAGATACACAGATGTGCTAGCTGAGAATTATGGGAGCTGTAGTCAAAGGCTTACGGAGGGTGCCCGGGACTGCTTTTTTCCCTTTTCCGTGAGTGCCTCTCTTCTTGTGGCAGTTCCCCCCTCCAAACCCAAAGCCCACGTTCCTTCCGTGGTGACCATTGGAAACAAGGCGGTCCTGAGATGCGAGGAGACCGATGCCAATCCACGGCCGACTTTCAGATGGTTCAAAAACAACATCCAGATGCCCGTGGATCCCAAAACCAGCTCCCTCTTCAAGAATTCATCCTACACGATTGACCCAGACACAGGGGTGTTGGTACGTACTTACGCTACTGATTTTTAGCTGTATTTACTCTAGGGTGGCACGTTGCATGCCCCCTTCCGCCCAATAATTACTGTGAGTTGGGTGGGGCAGCTTACATTCACTGGCAAGAAGAAGAAAAACTGTTGAGAGCAAAGGCATGGATGGCTGTGAAGATTTCCTAATGCTTGGGAACGGCTGCTTGCCTGGTGAATTTAACCCTTTCTGCAAGGTCTAAATAGAGCATCCTTCTCTTATCTTCTTTCCTCTGTCCCCTTGTCTCCATCTCCATTTGCTTCCTCTTTCTTTTTCTTCCTCTTCTGAGCGCAGTTACCTCTTCCACGTTCCCCACCTTCATGCTGGTTTTACAGATAGTCCTTGGTTAATGACGATAACTGGGACCGGAATTTCCATTGCTAAGTGATGCAGTCGTAAAGCACAACATCACATGACCCGCATCGCCTTGCAATGGCAATCCCAGCACTCCCCATTGCCGTGGTTAAGCGAGGATTGCGGGTCAATAAACGAGTCCCAGGTGGCTCCCAAGCAGGCCGGCAGGCAGGTAAGGCATGGCGCAAGCACAGTGGGGCCGGGGTTGGCTGCTGCCAGCCAGGGGAAGGTGCAGGAGACTTACCGGAGCAACTTGTGGAAAGTCAGCAGGGAAGGTCACAAATGGCGATTGCGTGATCATGCTGCAACCGTCATAAATGTGAGCAGGTTGCCAAGCACCCAGATCACAACCAAGTCACCGCAGGAGTGCTGGGATGGCCAGAACTTTGAGGACAGGTCATAAGTACCACTTGTTCAGCACTGTCATAACTTTGAGTGGTCGCTGAATAAGTAGTCATTAAATGAGGGCTGCTCGTCCTCTTATTTTTTGCTGTTTCTCTTAGAAGAAGGGAGCACGCGTCGCGTTTCTTGTGACGGTGACCATTTGATGAACACATTGGTTGTATGCGTGGGTGGAGAGCAATACATTTTATAAATGGGATACCTTAATTGGTAGGCAGCTCATTTTAATTAGCCCTTACTAAGTCTTTCTGTTTGCCCTGTCCCTTTCTGGAGTGTGGTTTTTGGTGGATGTTTCTGTCTCACCCACGATTATGGGTGGGGAAGAGTTTCAGGGTTAGATTCAGCAGGAGCCAGAAACTCAGGGAGAACAGCGAGGACGTGCGCGGGGGGCGGTGGGCAAAATCAGTCCCCAAATCCGTCTCTGGTGGACGCGGCTGCTCCCTTGTTCCAGCAGAGAACGTTGCTCCTGCGTGCTTTTCTGTGCTGCTTTTACATCGGTTTGGGGGTTAATTAGATCCGTGTCCTGCCGTTTTTGAGGAGCAGCGTTCGCAGTGCCCCCCTTCCCGGTTCCCCCTTGCGGTAGGTTGGGCTAAGAGAGGACAATCGGCCAGGTTCCCCCAGGGGGCTCCTGCGGCTGAGAAAGTGCCTGAACCCGGGTCTCCCTGGTGCCCGCCCAGCGCCTTGACTCCTGGGACGTCCTTCCTCCTGGCTCTCGTGTGCAAATGTCATGGCGTAGCGAAAATTCAGGGAACTGATGAGCTGAGCGGTGGCAGGGTGCCTTTCCTCCCCGTGCCCCCATTTTGGCAAAAGAGGAATCCCAGAGAGAGCTCAGGTGACCGTTGGATGGTCCTGCCAAGGAGAGGGGCGTCTTCTGGCTCGAGAGTGAGTTGCTCTTCTCTTTCCTTCAGGCTTTTGAGCCCGCCACGGCCCTGGATGCTGGGGACTATTTCTGCGAGGCCGAGAACAAGGTGGGGGCCGCCCAGAAGTCGGAGATTATTCACATGGAGACCAGTAAGTAACCCAGGCTGGCATCGCTCCTCTTTGGGGGCACGGCCTGCCAGCCCTTCGGAGTCTTCAGTGCTTGCCGTCAAATTGTGCTTTGTAATGGGATGGAAGGGGAATTCCTAAACCCCCAGAGGAATAATATGGCCCAAAGTGAACCAGCTGAATTTGGATTACCCCGTCATTGTGCGATGGAAGTGCAAACCCGGCAAAAGGAAGCTTCACGGGTCCCTGACTAAACAGATG